AGGGATTTTGTCTCTTGTCTCCCAACAGGTTTTTCTTGCACGATGGAGGACTGTAACAAGGACTTCTACTCAGAGGCTTTCCAAAGAGTGTAGTCTGGGTCTCTCCTCCTTGCTGTGGCACTGGGAGGTTCAAGGAGGTGGAGAGCCCTGGGAAGACACCTACTCTCTGCTCACAGAGCTGTTGATGGGAATTTTGATCCCAAACTGTTGATGGGAGTTTTGCCAATGACTGTCATGAAAAATGCATGAATAACAATGGAAAGGTGGTCTCCTTTCCCCCCCTACCACAGCAGCATCCGCCTCCTTGAGCCACAGAGCCTGGCTCCTTCCTCCTGTTCCTACAGTGCTTTCCCTTGTGCCTGCTTTGTGGCCTACCTTCAACAGGCAGATGCTTTCAGTTCTGCATAGTTTGGGATTAGGATGTTGCTGAGTGATGCGTAAAATCTGGGTTCACATCTCCTGAAGGGCAGATGGGCCCAAAACTTGGGTCTCACATTGTTCTGGGCACGTATTTTAACTCCTAGGCCAACAGTTCCCAATCTGTGGTACAGGTACCACCAGTGGGACGCAGACAACGTGTCAGTGGTATGCATTAACAGATTTATTATAATTAATTTATACAACAAAAATTTGCTGGTGGTACTTAAGGTTGTATCATTTTAAATTGACGGTGCACTATCTGCCAGAGTTTGGGAACCACTGTCCTAGGCTATTGGTTGACAGGTTGGCCCTTTTGGATGTTTCCACTTCTGGGGGTTTACCCAGAAACTCTGCATCTGTAGAGAAGTTGAAGCATAGGCTGAAGCTCAGTTGAAACTGGAACATAAATTGATGGAGATAATTCTGAGACAACATTGAAAAGCTGATCAGGCATGTGTAATAGGGACAGACATAGTTATGGAAGGGGAAAATGTAGTCTCGTAAGGTATTTAGGTATGTAAACATGGTTCGGGCCATTACACAAGGTGAAGCTGAATGTCATTGGGTGATTTAGATACCTAAAAATACTGAATGTGACATATGCTTTGGCGCTGAAATGGACTTTTACCCTCTAACATTAATTATGAGCATTCGCCTGAAATGTTCGCCCATGACTAATTACATTAAGCGTATCTGGGCACTCTGACTATTCTTAGGGCATTTTGGATTAAAAAACACAAAACAAAACAGTGGTGTCTATTTTGCACCTATTCATAGCTCTTTTGAATATGAGCTAGATCGTTGTTTGGCATAAATTAGTCTAGCTCCATTGACTTCAATGACTGTTATTTCTCTGCATCGTCCTGATGTTTATTATTTCCTAAGCATATATTTGGGTGGGAGATGGGGTGAAAAGTGAAGCAGAAGCTGTTTATGCCAACTCTGAATTTGGCCCTGTTAAACTAAATTACATACTCCCCTGGATTATCAGGGAATCATAGGAAGGGTTGGAAGGGACCTCAGGAGGTCATCTAATCCACCCCCCCTTCTTCTTATTACATCAAAGAAGATAATATAACACTTTAAAAGCATATGGGATGTATCTGACCTTGCCCTTTTAAGTACCTGAGAAGGAATCACTCTGAAAAAGTTATAAGCTACTGAAAGAGGAGTTAAAATGGAAATGACATCTTGACCTTAATTAGAGCGCTTATTACGATATCTCAAACTACTAATGAAACGCTGTAGTATTTTAAGGAAAAAAACCCCCAACAATGAACATTTTTCTTCCTTATCTTCCAGGAGGGAGTCTAATGCAAAAGTACATTGAGATAGACTGATATTTCCCTAATGGCTTCTCTCCATGGACATAAGCCAATGTTATCAGGCTGTAATGCTGATCTCGGCTCTCCTAGTTTTTTAAATAAGTGTACCTCCATTGGCATCAACAGTTACTCCTCAGTTTTGATGGTGAGAGAGGGGAGAATCAGACTCAAACTGTGTTT